TTTTGAGGCATCATCAGCGCAAGCCTGCATGTGTGTGTACATTGCTAAAATGAAGGCAATAAACGCTGCGTTCTTGCTTTCTCTGTGAGTCGACGTTTTGTGCGCGAAAACAAATGCAACGGTTGTTGAGCCTTCACCAGATGAGAGAATAATAATATTGTAAATATGCATGTTCTCCGATTTGAGTTACTTGACGTCAGCTTTGCATGAAAGTGTGCATCCCATATACGCAACGTTTCATTTTTAACCTTTAAAATGGCTGTTTCTGGTGTTAGGACACACACGAACGTTTCGGAAGATAGCAACGTCGAGCATTATAGTTCTGTGTTTAGTTTTATGCAGATCCATGAAAATCGCGAAATATTGTTCTTTCCTAACGTTTCGCTTTTATCCTGTTTAGCGTTGTATTCCTGAAGGAATAAGTGCACCACTAAGGAGGCGTCAAGCTGTTGGTGGGTCACTGAAAATAAGAATAAACAAACAAACAAACAAACACTAATTGAAGAAGCAATATTTTGTTTTCGCACAAACGACACTTCTGAGCCGAAAACAGAATTCAATGTTTCAGAATGCACCGCATCATTTGTCACTTGCGCAGTGGACAGCGTAAATTACTGGTCAATCTTCTACCAAGCCCTTCAGGACGACCTCGACCAGTGCTTTCGCTGGTCGGCCGAAAACAAATTACCCTTTAACTGCTCTAAAAGTGTTGCAATGACATTCACTGTCTCTTCCAAAACTTCGAAAACTACAAGCCAAGCCTCAAACTTAACCCTGGGTGGCTCACTACTAAGGCATGTGCCCTCCACAACCCTCCTTGGTGTTGTCCTGGACAGCCGCCTCAACTTTGCCCCCCAGGTCCACAGCGCCACATCGAAAGCAAGACGCATGCTGGGCTTTGTCACTCGAGTCACACGAGGAATGACACCTAACACCTTCCGCCATCTTTACACTGCGCTGGTGCTACCCCACCTAGAGTATTGCTCTGCGGTGTGGTACCCCCAGCAAAAATGTCTCCAAACTACACTACGAGGCGTGCAACGGCGTGCCGCCTACACTTACTATCGCCGCAGTGTTTCCCTACCGTCAGTCCCACTCTCCTACAGAGAAGTACCCTCTAGTGACCTCCTGAAGATTGCTGCCTGGAGGAGCCTGCACCAGCGACAGCAAGTAGCATCTGTCCGGCTGTTCTGCAGGATCATGGGACCAAACCAACAGGAACTTTATGATGCCCCCAGGGTGAACAGAAGAACGGGTAGAGTCCAGCCCATGATGTCCCGAACATTACGGCATGGGGAGTCCTGCCTGCTGAGGGCAGCTACGCTTTGGAGGGGGCTCCCCCCAAACCTCACCGAACACATTCCCTCTGATCCCCAAGAGGCAAAAGAAGTAGCTGAGACGCTCTTCCGTGACCCCTCTAACGGTGTTTGAAACTTTTCCCCCTTGACTTCTAACTTAATTACTTAGTTCTTTTATTTATTTACTTCACCATTCTGTACAACCTATACATGTTATAAGAGTGCACAAATCAATCTGTAAGCACACTAGTTTTTTTTTTTTTTGCTTTTGTACAAATGTATATTATATATATTCTGTGAGTGCATAGGTCGGTGTTGTGGGCACAATAGTGCATGGGCATCAGCCTTCCCCCAACACCAGCACGCCTGTACACTTCTACTTGTCATGTGCAATAAATAATATCAATATCAATATCAATTCTTGAGGCAGGAAATATTGATGAGAACCACACTCGCTCACAAACTCACAGCTACCGTGTTCCCTACCCAACACCGCGCCGTAACCGCTGGTTGTACTACACTGCACGATGGTAACCGCACGACTGCACGGCGTCCATTTGCAATCCAAGGCTCTGTTGGATGCGTCGCGTTCTCGCACGTGCGCAGACATTTGCCGAATTTTTGCCGAATCTTTGCCGAACTTTCCTGCAAAAGTTCGGCATTTGCCGAACTTTGCCGAATCTGAAGTTCGAGCTGCAGATTCGGTCCATCACTTGTAAGGACTTGAAATATTGGTGTTCTGGTTTGAAATACCCAGTGTTCTGCTTCTGTTTTTTGGCCGCAGTTCCTCCGACGCCCGTCGAAGGAGTGACATCTGTGTGCAAATCACTCCTCCGACGCCGGAAGTGACGTAACGGAAGTGACGTCACCTTGTTAATTATTAATAACTAATATAAATCATTACTACATACAGAATATAATGTGCATTTGAAAATAAGTACAAATAAAAATAAACCCGTTCGATTTTAATGTAGCTTTACAGTAAAAGGTCACGTGACTAAACATTTTTGTCACAACATTTGTTTATTTACAACTTTTTAAACGCAGCCTGACAAAAGTTGTGAGTTATAAAAATAGTATTAATGCATATAAATACATTTTTATTGTCTTTGTGTCACGTGACGTTATTATCGTGGGCGTGGCTGCCGTGGCCCTAGCGCGTGCGTCGCGTGCGGTAGTGTGCTCCGAATCGGCTGTCCCTTGCATTGTACATTGCACGCTCCTCCAGCTCGGGCGCTCGTCCTGTGAAAAAAACGTCTCGCAGCTGATCTCGTGCCCGTAGCCTTCGTTACACTGCCAGCGAGCGGAACATAGCACGACGCTCAATGCTTTCTTGCATCAGCGTGACCGGCGGTAGTGACGGCCGGCCGAGTGCGCCCGCGCGCGCTTAGATGGGTGTTCGCTGTTGCAAAGACCTTATCATTGATTATCGCACCTAATGTTGGCTCAGCTGTTGGCTCGTTTTCAACGAGCCAACAGCTGAGTTACGTTAAGGTTCTCAGTTACAGGTGGTAAGTGTGCGTAACCCAGCTGCAAAAAAGGTTGAACGGATAGGAGCGACCCCCGGGACCTGCCGCGGAACCCCGGGAGGGAACGGGGGTGGGAGGGGGGTCGTTGCGGGTACGGCAGTTAGATTTGAAACTGCGTCCACTTGGATTCACTACTACTGAGATATGCCGGTTCCAGTTGGGAACCAATGGAGACCTAACTGGGAATCAACTTGATGCAAAGAATTGTAACTGCAGATTTAACTCAATTTGTAATCATGCATATTAATTTTACATATTATGCATTTGTTCTTTGTGTTTGTTTTTATATAGAACCAGATTTAGTTTTTTCTTCTGAGACTGATTTTTGTGTAGGTGTTGACACTTGCGCCTTCGATCAAACCGAGCAGTACTGAAAAGGTGTGCCCACCATATGACACACTCACGGTTAAAGCTGACCGGACCACTCGGTCACATATGTTGCCTGGCCCTGTCACTGCAGTAGAATGCGTAGAGTGTTATCAGAGCAGAATGTGATACATGGTAATAAAACCCGAGACCCAGGAACACAGAAGGGGACGAATGTACGAATGTGATACTCGACTCATTCAGTGAGCGCGTCGCCCTCACCGTCCTGCAACTCTATTAAATAGCAGCGTATACTCTCTGTTGTGTCTACAAGCTGATCCTGGCTGCTGGTAGACGAGGACGAAGAGGAAGGGGGATACGAACGGAGCACGAGATGGAGCAGCTGGTTTTTCTGTACTGTCTGACATAGGCGTTCGTATTAAAAACACAATTGGTGCAGTCGACAGGACTCTAGGACTCCTCCTAGAGTCTGAACTTTCCCTAGAATTCGCTTTTGCCATCGCCTCTCAAGTTGAGCAAGCGATGAAGGAGGCCAAGCTCTTGACGGAAGAGGGATCCAGTTCACAAGTGGCAAAAATAAAAGCCAAAAATTCGAGGGCAAGTCCCAGCAAGTCGTCCGGCACTTGTTACAGATGTGGATCACCGCACCACATGGCGGACCATCCTAAGTGCTGGCAAAGAATGAAGCTTGCAGAAAATGCAACAAGAAGGGACACTTCGCCTCCGTTTGCAAGCAGGGAGTTTCACAAGCAAAATCCCATGTACGAAGAGTGGAACAAGCGCACGACCAAGTCCAGGTGCTAACTACCAGCTTTACCAAACAATCGGTTACGTGCGAGATACATCTGGCACATGTTCCCACCAAACGTTTAGTCGACACGAGTTCATCCGTTTCAATCCTGCCAAAAGACGTCTACCGAAGACACTTCCACTCTTACAAGTTGGAATGTTTGAGTACAACACTTCTGGACTACTCCGGAAAAGACATTCCCGTTCTGGGGAAATTCGACGCACCGGTGCAGTTTGCTCAAAGACGCAGCACCTGCACATTTCACGTCGTATGAACAGGCGTGGCTGTCATGGGCCTAAACGCCTTTTGTGCATTGGACATCCAACTAAACTTTGCTCCTCCCACCGGAGGACAGGCGGCAACGGTCTCCGCGAGAAACCCTCCAGAGATCACACAAGACTTCCCCCATCTGTTCTCCGAGGGATTAGGTCATGCGAAAGGATTTGTACATAAGGTAAAGACAAAAGATTCCGTCGCTCCTTTCCAACAAAAGCTACCAAGACTACCTTTCGCAGTGCGGGAGAAAGTTTCTGAGGAACTGGTGAAGCTGGGACACTCCGGGGTTATCGAGCGCATCGATGCTTCGGAGTGGGTGTCTCCCATCGTAGTGGCCCGCAAAAAGAATGGGCAGGTCCGGCTCTGTGTAGGCCTATGCAAGCCGAACACTGCAATAGTTTTGGATTCCCACCCTCTACCGTGCCCCGACAAACTTTTTCATCAGCTTTCCGGTGCCCACATCTTCAGCAAGCTAGACCTCTCATTGGCATATCACCAGTTGGACCTGGCAGAGGAAAGCAGAGACCTAACGGCATTTGTGGCACATGAATGTCTCTTCAGGTTCACCAGAGTATGTTTCGGGCTGGCATCCGCCGCCCCTGCCTTTCAAAAATGATGGACTACATACTCTGAGGTACTCCAGGTACCATCGTCTACCTGGATGATGTACTTATTTTCGGGCGCACAAGAGAAGAGCATGATGCCCGCCTGAGGCAAGTTCTTTCACGCCTTCAAGATGCAGGCTTGAAACTAAACTAGCACAAATGTTTTTTTTTGCAGTCCAGCAGCTTCAATTCCTAGGACACGAGCTGACACCGCAGGGAATCAAGCAATGCGAAGATAATGTTGAGGCTATCATGCAGGCTTCACCCCCCACAAACATAACATCACTACGATCATTACTCGGCCTGCTCGCATATTACGTCAAGTTTGTACCAAACTTTGCGACCATCGTGGAGCCTCTGCACGTGCTCCTGCGGAAGGATGTTCCCTTTTAATGGAAAAAGGCACAAAAAGAGGCATTCACTGCTGTGAAGGATCTGATACGAAACAGCGATCCACTGACTTTGACGTGGTGCTGCCCACCGTCGTCACAACGGATGCATCTAATTACGGATTAAGCGTAATTCTGCAGCAAGTACATCCGGAAGGAATTCGAACGGTGTCGTTCGCATCGTGAAAACTTTCAAGCGTCGAACGCAACTACTCTGCAGGGGAGAAAGAGGCATTGGCGTGCCTTTGGGCCTGCGAGAAATGGCGCTTTTTTCTCTTCGGGCGCCATTTCACGCTCAAGACAGATCATCAGGCTCTCGTTACTTTGCTTTCTACACGAGGATCCGGTCGACAACCAATGAGGATAACCAGGTGGGCTATGAGACTCCTCAGGTACGACTACGAGGTACATTACCAGAAAGGAAACAAGAGTGTCGTAGCAGACGCACTGTCACGCCTGCCTACTCCGAATCCTTCGGATTGCAGCAAGTTTAGTGACGACAAGGAAGAATTCACTTGCCGGTATGCAATCTATGCACAATCGATCAAGAAGAAATCAAGAAAGAAACCAGGCAAGACCCTAATTTGCCTCGAGTAATCCAGTGTATCTGCACTGAATGGGGTCACGAGGAACAATGTGATAAAGTACTATCTACATACTACAAGTTGCGAGAAGAGCTTTCCTCCGTGGATGACTTACTACTACGTGGTGAAGTGTTGGTTCCACCTATTTGGCTACGGCATAGACTCATTGATCTAGCTCATGAGTCACGCCCTGGAATTGTGCGGACAAAGCAGCGTCTACACCAGCACTTCTGTTGGCCCAGAGTCGACATCGAGGTCGACACCTAAATTAGAGACTGCAACACCTGTCAGACGAACGACAAGACAGCTGTGACGGCAGCGGCACCCCTACAACCAGTTCCATTCCTATCGGGTGCATGGAAACAAATAGGAATAGACATTGTCGGACCTTTTTACAAACTTCCATCGCAATTCAGATTTGCAGTCGCCCTAGTCGACTACTTCAGTAAGTGGCCAGAGGTAGCTCTTTGTAACCAAGTTACTGCTGAAGCTGTATGTGAATTCCTCATTAGAATCTTCAACCGAGAATGGTATCCGAAGGTGATTGTTTCTGATCATGGCCCATAGTTTGAATTCCGCATATTCCAGGAGTTCCTGAAGTCCAGAGGGATTTACCACCATCGGTCTCCGACATACCATCCACAAGCCAATGGTCAGGTTGAGCGCTTCAACCGAGTGCTTAAGCAGTACGTCCAAACTATCCTGCAGGAACAAACCAACGTTCGTACAGGCCTTGGGTTTCCGGGTGTCTACCGAAGTACACCACATGCAGCGACGAAGCTCTCCCCCGCTGAGCTCATCCACGGACGCAAAAATGCGTACCCGTATGGACATCGTGGGCTTCCCAAGTTTTGACGAGCCCGTTCACATCGAGATGCAGCAACTCCGCCAATGCATTGCTGATTACCAGAAGCACAGCAAGCAATACACAGATGATAGGCAAAGAGCCAAACCATTTACAGCGGGTGTAGGAGATTATGTCTGAGATGATGACTGAAGGGAACACCATCATTTGACCCCTCTGAAAGAATTCATGAAGCTGTGGGGCCAAGCACCTTCTCTGCTTATTCTTCCATCTCTTTTACTTCTATCCCCCCATATATTGGTTGATCCTTTCTTTTTACCTTCCCTCCACAATCTTTCATTTATTAATCATATTTTACACAAAGACCACCATCTCCTTCTCATTAAAATTTGCTGATGAAACCTTAAATTTTGTATGATTATTCAGAAAAAATTATGTATGAAAGGGCAAAGCCTGAGTCAGTCGAGCTGGAGTCCTATGCGAGGCTAGGGTAGCTTATGTGTCTGTGCAAGGGAATGATCGATTGAACTGGTGAGTATGGGATAGCTGGAGATGACTTCCTGAATGTAATTATTGTTTCAGAGGTTAGATGGTACTGAATTGTGGCAATTATTAATTATTAAATGAACTCTCCAAGTGTAGGAACTATTAAACAGGCAAGAAATAAAAAGAAAGCATTATTCTGGTACATCGTTACTTATGCAACTTTACATTTTAACAATTGAAGTGTTCCTCCACCACAAAGTTTTATTATTATTACTGTTTTATATTGATTTAATCATTCAAATCTATACCACCATGTGTTTTCTTTTACATACACATTGTATGCTGAGTACAGAGTTTTGGCTGAAGCTAAGACGTGTTTTGTACACCATTTATTTGTACTAACCTTATAATTGGGAGGAAACATGTGCTTCATCACAATAGCAACATTGCTGAAGTAGAGGTTTCAAGGAACAAATACAATTAACTTGGAAGTCTGCTTGCCAGTGGAAGGACATTTTTCTATGACATCTGTGCAGTAAAAAGCCCACAAGCGTACTTCTAATTAAAAACGCACGCTATCCAGAATAGCGCGACCCGCAAAAGCGGTTCTTCCTACGAAAATGTGCCTTGTGGAACAGTTTGAAACTCAGAAAAGAGCTTGTACCCTGGAAGAAGGGTTTCCCCCTTCTATTTGCTGTACGGCGGGAAAGCGGCGGACCAAGTAACTCGCAAGTGCGCTTCCCCTTGCACGTATTTTCCTTGTGGGAAAGCGCAGAACCAGCAAATGTACTTGTCAGTTGCAGTAAGATGGGAAAGCAGTAGACCTAACGTTCCATAAGCGTGCTTCTCCCTGAAACACCGAGTTTTGCAGGAAAGCAAAAAACCCGCAAGTGCGCTTCACCTTACGAAGTTGTGTACTGCGGAAAAGCGACCTAGAAATACTTCTTCATTATCTACATATTTATTGCAAGAAATCCATGCGCGAATCTCATCCTCCGAAGAGCACTTATGGCAATAGGCCACATTGATTGACTGAACATGACTTTACAACTAACCAAATTACAAATTTCTCACTGGCGAAATTAAAAAAAAAAAAAAAAATCATTGATTAGATTTAAACTGTTTTCTCAAAATAATTTTTTGAGAGAAATATAATTTCTCTGAAAATAATAAATACACTAGAATATGCAAGATCAACCAGAGACATATACTTTAGTCTGTCTGCCTGATTCTATACCTCTCTCTGCTGGTATTTGAGTTTGTATGCTTGTTCACGCATGCAGTTCTTTTGTTGACTCTACCCTTTCCCTTGTTTTGCTATACCTGAAGAATGAGCTGAAAAGTAGAGAGAGCGTTCAATCCTACAATTTACTTGTGCCTCGAAGAAGTCTTATATTTGCTCGTTATCCCCATATCAATATTACTTGATAATTATTTTACATGGAATGAAAATATAAATACACCTGAAAACAATAAAATAGTTGTGGTTCCAGTGGTAAAATTAATGGTTTTTTTTTAATATATCAAAATGTTTGATTTGAAACATTGGTATTCAAATCATACTTGGGTAGTCATTTAATTACAGTAATTAAATTACTGTAATTGAATTACTTTTCTGGTAATTTGTAATTCATTACTTCCTGCTAAAGGGAGCTGCAATTGTACTTTATTTGCTTTTTAGCATCAGTAATTACAAACTTTGAGGCACAATTACAACTACTTTTGCAAGGATTTCCGGTGCCAACCGGAAATCCTTGCATCATCAACACTGATGATGACATCAGTGACGTCACTGATGACGTCACCGACATTAGCATTGTCATCATCACTGATGATGTCATCAGCAAAGTAATTTGTAATTGCAATGAATTATTTCTCAGGTAGTACTAATTGTAACTGTAGTTAAACTACTTTTGGAGCAAAGTTATTGTAATTAAATTACATTATAAAAGTAATTTACCTGTATGATTAAAGTTGTGGTCTAAATCATGATTTCGATTTAAATCAACTTGATTTTTATCCTCCACCCTGTCGATATGTGTGTCAGTGCATGACCACTGCCAATCATTTCATTTGCAGCATGCGACATTGAGCCCTCAATTCTTTATACGAGGGCAATGGGGGATGGCCAAGGGATGAAGATGGGCTGAACAATTTTTTTCCAACATTTTGTTGATATACTATTAGATAACTTTGCATGCTGCAGGTGAAATTCGGTACGGTCTGCTTTTCTGGAATCGATCGGATGGACACTGAATCTATAAGTCGATTGAATCAGGATGTCCCATGCAGGAACCAAACTGTTTAATTTTTTTATAACTTACTAATATTGTAATATTGCTGCTTTTATGCTTCAAGTGTGTAGATAAGTGGGTAGCACAAATGCTCAGAAAGAGTGGTAATGTCATGTTCTTTATATAGTTGATTATAGTGGAGACAAGAGCTTCTGGAAAAGTATTTGCGACTCTGTGTAGGTGTCAATCAGGCAAAGGCAAACGCTGCCTTGTACCGCAGAGACACAAGGAATTATCTTACACCACTTTTCTTTGCAATTAATGATTTGGCAGTGCTACAGCGATAGTAGATAATGCTGGCAAAAAAGGGCTGTCATTTGTGGCCCTCGAATTAGGAGGGTCAGCAACAGGTTTATAATAATAATCATCTTTATTTTGGGTGTCATCAGTCTTTATCTTGGATGCCCCGTGGTGCACCAAAACAAACAATAAAACCAGCAAACAAAAAATCCTAAACACACTTATAAAGTTAACAAACAAATAAATGTAAGATTATCCAAATGGCGACGGTACATTGCAGCAGATGCAGATATATAAAGGCGAGGTGGAGCGATGGCATCATATGACTGAATCCGAGAGACATGAGGTATTGCACAGTGAGCACACATAAAAGCATACGAAATGTCTGGTTACACATGAAGGAACATGAAACAGTTCTGCTCTAGTTTGCCTGTAGTTGTTTAGAAAG